GCGAACCCCGCTCGGCGCCCGCGCTCTCCCTACCGCGAGCCGCGGACCCGTCGCCTCCGGCCCAGTACGAACTTCCCGCCGCTTTCGCCGACTCGCAACTCCGCGGCGGCGCCGGCCCCGGCACACCTTGCAGTATGGAGCCTTCTCATTGGCTCGTGAAGAGCGGAGAGGCGGGGCGAGCAGGAGGGCCGAGGAGAGGGGCGGAGCCTCACGGGGTCCTGCGCTTCCCGCGGCATGCCGGGAGCTGTGACCGACGCTCCACTGCATGCTGGGAAATGTAGTCTTTTCACGGCCAAGTGAGAACCCCGTTCCTCTGCTGACGTGGGCTGCTGGGAAATGTGGTCTACCGCCACCAGAGGGGTCCAGCCTGCAGATCTGATCAGTACCCCGCAGCGCCATAGTAACTGAAACCACCTTGCGCTGAGCCACAAGGTACTGCTCCATCCCTGTGCTCCCATGCCAGTCTCCTTGCAAAGGATTTCTACTCAGATGATCAGAATGACAGCGGCTTGGTTTATTAAGTACCTTGACAAAGAGTTGAATGCAAAAGAGGTCCTATGTTCCCCGTGGCTGAGTGTCCTTGAACTTCCACTTGCATGACTCTACCTTCTGGACCACCACCTGGAATGTCTGAACCACAACTTGGTTCAGTACCTTCCTCCTGACTCTACAAGCAAACAACCTACACTCCAAATCTGGCTCTCCCCTTTGCAGCTTTGTGATCTCAGGGAGGTAACTTGACCCCAGGAGTCACCTTTCCCGTTTCTGTCAGGATTGAGAGAGATCATTGATAGACTATGCTTTGCAACCTGGTAGGTACTCAATAAATAGCAGGTAGTATCAAAATGACTCTGCCCACCCATTGTCAGGCTAAATCCTATCTATCTTTCAAAGCCTATTTCAGCTTCTACCTAACCTTCTATAGTATTTCACGTGTGGCTCAGCTACACCAGTTTGCTTTGTATTTACAAGCAGTTTCCTCTAAGCCTTCATCACTGGGATAAAGCTTCCTGCAGACTAGGCCACGCTTTAGGTCAAAGTCACAAAGATGTGGGCAGAACATGTCCTGTGAAGGTAATAATGCATCAGCTCCAGGGCCTCACCTGCCTAGGTCCCTTCCAAGCCCCATGAAGGGCCTATTCATAGCGTTTACATAATTTGGAAGGTAAATCATTTTGCATGATTTTCTCAAAACTATATCCCCCATGTTCTGAGCTCCCACAAAACCTGGACTCAGCTGTTACTCGCACAGCACTGTATTGTACCCTGCGATATGTTTGCCAGTGCTGGTCTCCTCACCTGCTTCAGTCACTTCTCCAGCTTACCTCGACCCAGGAGGCAGACCTGCACAAACATGGCAAATTCCCTGTGCCCCGTCACCTAGTGGGATTTGGCGGGTGGGTTGTCGCACAGGGCATTGGACGGGAAAGCTGGCCGAGGTTAGGTTTCCCCTGGAACCTCGTCAGCAAAGTCACCTCCAGTTGGCCTGTCCTTAACCTGAAGGCCCCGGCCCTCCCTCAGGCTTCAGTGACAGCTGCCTGCCTTTGTGCCTCAACTCAGCAGACACTGCTGCCATCACCCCACTGCTGAGCCACACCTTACTGCTCCAGCCCTGGGGCTCCCACTCCCTCACCCTTGTTAATAGCCTCCTTGCCAGCAACCTCTCCTCATATTATCTGACTTCAAATGTGTCATCTGCTTCCTATTGAGACTCTGATGAAAACACGCTTAAGGTGAGCACTCGATAAATATTTGTCAGCAAAGAGGTCTTGAGATTCACACATCTCCTGGGTGTGGGATTCCCCAGCAAGATTGTGTGGCCAGACTCTACTGAGAGGAAGACATCTAATCTCGCTCTCTTTCTCTCTTTCTCACACACACAAAGAAGACTTGGAACGAGCCATGCTGTGACCAGTTCTCCTAACCTCACGGTGTGTACCCCTGCAGAAGAAATCACCCCACTCCCACTCAGGGCTGACAACTGATAGGTCTTGGAGCACAATTAAATCAGCAGCGGTGCAGGCTACCCCAAGGTGTGAATGTGTTGTATTCTCTGGGGAGCGCGGAGCTCCGTCACCCTGTCAGAGGATAACTCTCAAACACGCTTAGATGAGGTGGTGTCCGGGCTGTCGCCAGCCCCTCCAGCACCACCCACACGTGCTGCCTTGTCCTGGCCTGCAGAGTGCGGCGGGACACCAGGCCAAGCTGCCGTCATGGAGACGGCATGTCTCAAATGCTGGTGGTGGGGTACAACTCTGGAATGTAGGCCCCTCTGGGAATTTTTGAGAATTGCCAGCAGGAAAGAAGTCAGGGCTTTGTGGAAGGCAGACCCTGGAGACTTGCTAGGGCTGGGCCTTGAAACTTAAGAGCTGACCCAGGAGGAAACTTCAGGAATCTTGTCCTGCCATACGTCCAGAACTATCTACACGGTACAAAGAGCTAAGCCACGGTGGGCCCGTGTGGGGCTGGGCCTGGCTAGGTGAGCGTTTACAGAGGCCCTACTATGTATCAGGCTCTGTGCTTTTTCACAGACATTAGCTCAGTGTTCAAAGAAGGGAGTCGGGGGGGAATCATAGAGTTTAATGATTCCTGGCCCCTAAATCTACTTTCAGAACTTTCTTGCCCCTTATGCAGCACCTCAGTACATGAGGAAGCTTCTTATGAAGAAATCATTTCTTTATTTTTAAAGATTTATTTATGCATACAGAACTGGGGTACAGGCCAGAGGCACAGGGAGTGAGAGGATTCACCAGAGACAGAGCAGGGAGCAGACCAGGCCGACAGATGAGGCACACTGCCGAGGGGAGCAGCGGGCGGGTCAGGAGGGGTCTGCCGCGCCCTGTGGGTCACCTCCCTGGCCGGGATCGAAGTGGTGCTGAAGCGGCGGTGGCCAGTTTCGCAGTGCTGTGCCTCCACATGTTATGCCACCAGGGAGAGCTCTAAAGAAATCATTTCACTGTAGGGTTATGGAATTGTACAGACGCTGTCCCAGGTAACGGACTCCTGGCAGGACACATCGTGAATGAAGCAAGGTGACCCAGAGCAGGTTCAGCATGAACACAAACGCTCAAAAATCTACCCAGGGGACCCGTATGGATTTCAAGAAGGTCAGCCCTCCCACCCCCTGTCCAACACCCTTTAGTATTCCGGGGCCCATTCAGCCCTGGTGGGCCTCGCTCAAAGGCGTGGAAAGGTAACAGCATCTAGGGAGAGGGCGAGGAGGCTGATATTCACTATGCCATAGTGGAAACTCAGACTGTGAAGCTCAAACACACAACCTTCTCCGGGAAGCAAGGCCGCCCTGGCAGCGGCCCAAATCCAGCAGGGGCTGGCTCCACCCGACAGTCAGCTCACGAGCCCGTGCTTGCTGCTTTCATCTGTGAAATGGGCACGGCAGGCCTGGACCGACCCGTTCTTGGCCCCCCCAGACTGACGGCAGGGAGCTGAGGCAGTGTCAAAACGGGCTTTGATCTACCTGCAGCGAAGTTGCTAGATGGCTTTCCTGGGTGCAGGAACCTAACAACAATCCCAAGAAACAGCAGCTCTAGTAAGGAGGACAGGAGAGAAGGGGAAAGAGCAGGATGTGTTCAGCCTCTCCTGGGTACCCCGGACTGGTTTATGCTCCCCTGTCCCCAGGGGTGACATCTCAGCCCCGGAGCTGGACCCATGTCCCCGTGAGCATGGCTGGCAGAGCCTGTGGAGTGCCTGGCACAGTGTCGTCGGCAGGTACATAGATAGCCCAAGGCGTGGGTCAGATGTGTCTACAAATTCAAGTGATTTGGGTGCGCGCTTATTATGTGCTGGGAAAACCACCTCAGGGATACCCTAGGGGCAGCAACATGATCCCCAAGGGCCAGAAGAGGGGTCAAACCCAGAGACATGACCTGGTTTATTCCAGTTCTAGGACATACTGCTGCTGGTGACCAGTCAGGATAGGAGGGGACCCCTACCGGCCCCACATCCGTCCTGACCACAGCGTCGCTGGGAATTGGCAGAGTTGATGGGGGTACACAGACATCCAGGCAAAGCGACACAGACCTAGTTGCTCTGCTGAGCGAATGTAGCAACCTCTCAACAGCACAAACAGGTTCCTTGGGATTTAATGACACAGTAATTGACAAGTATAGATTACTCTGAATCAGAAGTGGCTGGAAAGGAGTTGTAAAAGGCTCAGCAAATGTTTCTTCTCCTTTTCTTCGTCTGGGTAATGGTGACACATGATGGTGATGCTGATGGTGATGGCAGCTAATTTTATCTAATAAAATTTAATGAATCTCTCCTCCTCTGTAAATGCTCGTAGTTGTCGGAATTTGATGCATGTTCCTGGCCCCAGCCGGCATTTAGTAAGCGTGGTTTTTTCCTGCTTCTGATCATTCCTTTCTTATTTCCCTCTTTCTGAACATCAAGGGATCCACATTTACTCCATCTCTGGAGATGAGCTCCAAGCGTGATTTGTCGTCAGTGGCTGGATGGAGACTCAGGTCAAGTACACATACATCTTCTCAGCCAGCCGCCAAGTTGCAAAGGAAGGAGAGCTTTTCAAAAACAAAAGTAAATTGTTGCTTTTATTTTTGCAACCATTCAACTCTTGTGATGTTTTGATTTCAGAGCGCCTCTAAGATTCTAGAACAAAGGCACTATATATAAGCATTATTACAAGACTCGAAAGGACTCTGAGGAAAACAAAATCTTTTTATCTCAAAAGAATGGCAGAGACTTATGGCTAAATATAGCTGCCGTGTGGAAAATGCATTTCAGCACCAGCACCACCACCTTGCCTTACTGAAACCCAGAGCCCATCAATCAACCCATCAGCAAATACTTTTCCATGATAATAATGAGCATATTTTAGCAGTTCCATATGTCAGACTTGGGCCCAAGTACTTTTTAGATCTACTATCTCAATTGGTCTTTGCAGCAACTTTGTAAGCCCATTTTGCAGGTGAGGAAAATGAGTCTTGGAGACCTGAAGTAATTTGCCCTATAAGAGGTAGAGCTTTGCCCTGTCAGTGATGAAGCTCTTCTGCCATCAAAGGGAACATAGAACAACACACCAAAGTGTAACACAAGGCCCCTGGTCTTCAGAATTCTGGCCT